AGATGCCGGAGCATCTCGCTATGTATTTGCTGTCAACACAGTGCAGACCCAGCATATGCTATTAAGAAACCATCCTTGCAGTTGCATTTCATCTCTATAATGCAGTAATTATACCTAGAAGCAAGGAACGTGTAAGTAGCATACACTCTGCTTTTGTCCCTCTGTTTGACCAGATGTCTCCTATAGCAAGGAATAAGCTCCTATCCTCTCAAGGCAGGAGAGCATGTGGGATCTGGTCATGCACACCTATTTGGAGAACTTCAGGCTTTAGACATGTGCCCCGAAAAATTGAATAAAAGCAGTGGAAGGACCTGAGTGCCACAGTGGGAAAGGACACGATCCTGGAACTGCAATTTCTGAAATTAGTGGGCTTTGACAATGCCAGTTTCCACCCACTCTTACATACATCCTCTGTGAAATAGTTTATTTGTAATAGACAGTCCACACAATGCCATAACAAAGTGATTTTATTGACATTCCTCCATAGTGATATGGTTGAATAGAAAGCACAGCCTGAGTATCATGTGACATTTTTCCGTCAATAAAAGCAAAATCAGTCCAATAATGAGGACCTTTCCTGCCACTGACTTTATGTAGTCTTCAACAAAAATTATAACAGACATTTCCGTTAGATAAATCGGAAGCTGCAGGAATTTGGCTAATGGTACAATATTTACTATACCTAGTATCTACTATCTACAGGCATCTGTTTTTCTACTGGAACAAAAGAACTACATGACTCACTAGTGAGAAAGTAACAATCCAATCCTTTGGACCTTGTGATAACTGGAAAACCTATCCCAGATTTAGTATATTGCAGTAGTTTTATCTTTTCATAATGAACACTGAGGTACAGCAAGAATAATAAAAAAGCACCGCTTTTGTTGTAGGAAGATCTGTTGGTCTGCATTTGACTGAAAGTGTTCAATCTTGACTGGGAAGCCCTATTAATATTAATATGGAGACAGGGCAAATAACATTTCAACAGAAATTAAACAGATCTCCAGTCAAATTTGTCCTTCTGAAATTCCACAGACTGTCAAAGGATTAATAGTGAAGGATGAGTTTAACCCGTCCCCTGTGCGTTTATATTTTAGCTTATTTAAGTTTCGATTTTCATGTTCAAATTCAGTATCCTATTGTTTCCAACTAGAGGTATGTCAACTATTTGTTACAGTGAAACTAGAACAACAAAGCACAATCCCAACAAACATTCCCCTCCCCACAGGCCATCTCTCAGACTAGACTACAAACTCAAATCTCAGCTACAGTTCATTCAAAAGTTCATGGGCACTTGAGCAAACTGGGTGTAAAAAGTCCCCTGTGTCAGACCTGTACAAAACTCATGATTTCTCTATTAGATGTTAGATGTTTGGACCACTCACTTCCTGCTTTATGATAGCCATGGACCTCTCTGGAACATAAAAGTCAAGTTTTGAATATGCACAGACTGAAACTGGACACTTACGTAACTTACTGCAGACTGAAGTGACAGCATTTGTAAGGTTTAGACCTGACACTGTTAACACTGAGATACAAATGTTTATACTGGATCAAATCCTCCACAGCTGATGTGGTTGAACAGTCAGTGAGACTACATCAAGGTGGAAGATCTACTGATGATTTAAAAGACCTATTTCCATTCTTTTATCTCCAGACTAATGCCAACAGGATTTCAAAACCAGAAATGCCCCTTTCTCTCCCTCTACTATTAATACTATTATGACAATAATTTTGAGAAACATATGGACTCTCTGAAACCGTAGCCAGCATTCATTGCTGGCTGATTGAAAACCAGAATTCATAAAAGTTGTTGGATTGTCTCTTCCATTTTCCACTTGCATTTTAAAAAATCTATTGATGTTGATATTTTATCTTAATCTAGCCACCACCATATCTAGCCACCACCAGGTTTAAAGGGAACTGAGGTGAAAGAGCTGAAAAGATTCTTTCACTGTAAATCTGCCCTATGGAATATCTTCTAGTCTTTCCTGTGGGGAAATAATAAAACCAGAATTTCTGTAATCAACAGTCAGTGTTTTACAAATGAAAATGCAGACCTGGGGAGTAACAGCACTTGAATCAACAGATGAACAAGGAAGGGTATGTCTTGCATATGCACAGCAACAAAAACAAAGTCAATTAATTGCATAATGGGCAGGTTAAATAACAGGCCAAGGGACGTAGGTTCCTCCCTCTCTCCTGTTAGCACCACTCACTGCCTCACTCTGACACTGCAATGCCACTTCAGATGCATGGCTTCCCTTCACTACAGGTTGGGACTGAATTCTGCCCATGGCATGATGCAAGGAATGGAGAAACACTGTGAAGTGTTGATCCAGATACCAGAAAGATGATGTCACAGTTTGAAAGCCTATTGGGGTAGGGCATTTGAGAAGAGAGAGGGATAGGGCTGGAATGGCAGAATGCAAGAAAAAACACATATGGCATTTTCTTACTCTTTGTTTTATGAAAATAGTCAACTGTCTCTATTCCTGGCCTTAGATCCTAAAAACTTGCAAGAAATCTGCAGGACTTTGTCAACTTAGAAAGCAACTTTTACAAAATATTAGGCTGTGTGCTTGAAAGACAACTTGGAACAAGGATTTTGATGGAAAGTTGCTGGCTATGCTCTGTGCTTCCCAGAGGAGCAACATACAAGGTGCTCGACATGGCATCTGCCAAACATAATCTAGTTTAGTGTGTGACGAATGCCAGAAAATGTTGTGAAGAAGAATTTCAGCAGAAAGCCTTCTCTGTTTCCTTTAGTGGAGCTTGATGCTGTCTCTGAAATACAAACATCTTTCATTATCCTACAAAAAATAGTTTCACTTTTTGTAATAAAATATAGTTTTAAAACACTTAAAAAATGTAACTATACATTGTTGTAAAGACTGATTTTTTTTTCCCCCACTTTTTTACTATGTTAATGAGACAGCTCTTGATTCTCCTTGGCCAAACATGGACCAATTAGTTGGCTGCTTCTCTTTCTTCTAATATTGGAAGACATCCAACATTTGACATAGTACAGGTAACTTTACAACATCACCAGGAATAAATTAGGAACCATACAAGAATCACTGGATTTGGGGGCCCAGAGGTGAAGAGGCAGGACTTACATACATTGGAAGATTTCATGTTCAGTGTTTCCTGGTGTGACTCGTTCTGGCGAAATTCATGTGCACATGACAGATGCTCTGAGAAAAGCATTACTTTTTCCATCTCTCCTGTGCAGTGCGCTGGTCACATGGAATAGATGCCTGAGAGCTCATTTATGGAAACACTAAACATAATTTTTGGTGTGTGGTACAATGAAGTTGGCCTGTAGCTGCAGCCTCTGTTTGCAACTGCAATATAACAAAAAGTGAAAGCCATACAGTAAATTAGTATAAGTGGCCAAATGCCACAGAAATTGAATGAATGGGGCAATTTAAGTATTTCAAATTTTGTATGTACCATTAACAAAAAAAAAAAGGTTTTTTTGCTTAGAAATATATTTTTGGGTCCATCACCTTTCAAACACCTACTGACCTAAGAATAAAAGCAGGAGAAAAATCTAAAACTCTCAGAATGCAGTTTTTCAAGTGTGATGAGGTTCTGTACAACCACCATAAAAATATGTGAGAAAGCAGAGTCCAATTTTTTTTCCTCTGGAGAGAAAACTTAAGACAAATCCGATGTGTTAGATCTTGAACTGGTCTCCTGATTTTACAGTGCTCTAAAGCATAACTAACACAAAACTACCAGTAACAAGCCCCCAAGGGGGTGTCACCCTTCAGGCAAGCTGCTAGACACTATAATGTTACCTTCTCACTTACCTTCACAAGTCTCTCACTTTGCATTCCTTGCATCCTTTAACATATTTAGTGTCAGAAGATACTTTGTATTTGTTTCCCAGTTAAGACAAACACTTTCAATCTGAGATTAGTCTTGGAAAACAAGGACAGAAAAGATTAATAACTAGAATGTAATCAGAGCAGTGAGGTTGACAGTAACAGCCTCAGCAAAATCCATCCGAACACAGCCTACTGCTGTTTTCCATTTTTCCCCCCCTGGATTCAGAGTTGGAAAGTACACCAAACTGAAGAGGGTTATGTCTACAGTAACAAGAAAAAGATCTTTAGTTTAGTGGTACCTAGTATGACCGGAGGGCCTTTGGGCTTCCTCCAAGAGGATGTGCACCGAAATCTTGACCCCCAGAGAGTTACAGTTCCCTTCATACCTCACAAACACCCTCATTCGCTGCAGCTTCTCATTTGACAGACTCCAGATGAAAACATTCTGTCTACAACCAACCACTCTTGAGGATATGGACTATTCCACTGAACAAGAAAAGAGAAACAACAGAACTGAAAACCGCCCCCAGCAACCATAGATTAGCCCAACCTAACAGAAAATAAACGGCTTCTGACACAGGGGATGGGATTGTCTAGACTTGTCATTTGGAAAGGAACATTTTAAACATCAGAAAACAAAGATCTGGTAAACAGAACCCAAGGGTATTCATAAGAGTAGAACATTCTTCTTACTTCCCCTTTCCCTTGTCTGATACAATTCTAAGGTAAGGGAGCCTTGTCCTTTATGCTACATAATAAAACATCCTTCTTGAGTGTGCACAACCTTGTGCTTCTTGTGTGGTAAACATTACAATGGAGATGCCCCTCCCAATAGCTCTGAAGTGCAAGTTCTCTCCGGTACTGGCAAGCAACAATCATAACAATTGCCGTTATGCTTTGCATTGCATTACAGGTTGTTTTTGAAGGTCTTATCTGCACCATGTATCTGGGCCAGTTCCAGCTGATGCAACTGATGTGGATCACGAGTTCAAATATAAAAGTTTCAGTTTTGCTCATAGGTGTCTTTCAGATGGACAACACATACAGGGAAAACAGGGATAGATGATGATATATTTGACCAGCTCCAAATACTGGATTCAATGATTAAGAAGTTAGATGGGCTATGAATTGATTTAGAAGATATGGGTATATAAAGGCTTGGAATGCTTGATGAGGTTTTTTTTTTATTTTTTGATCAACGTAGGTGGAAGTAAACATTTATTAACATTTGGTCAAGTGTAGTGTAACTTGCATTTGTATTTTCATTGTTATTAATGGAGGTATGTAGAGATATACAGAAACCTTGAGACAGTTGTTTTTCTATTGCATACAGACTAGCAGTCCATTGGAAATAGAGGATGAAAGCATGAAGGTTAGATTGTAGAGGGTGGCAGTTCTTCATGCACAGCTTTTGTTAATCTTGATTTTTGTTTTGTTTTCAAAAATAAAAACATGGAAAACCGAGATCAAGTGATGGTGGACAGGAAAGGTGACATCATCAGCCATAAAAACACCAGAAGTGCCTGAACCCCCTCATTCAAGTCCAAAGGTGCTAGTTTCTTCAACAGCTGTCAGCAGCTTTTCATACAGCATAGAATATGAGGGGTAAGGTGGAAGATCCAAACGGTTGAAACATGTGTGTGCCCTGCAAAAGGAAAATATGCTACATGTTAAGCTTAATCTAAAAAAAACTTAAGAAAATATGAATTGAGAAAACAAGTTTCTGCTGAGACTCAAGACATTCAAGTTCGCTCAAAGTAAAACTTTTGAATTCCACCAAAATCAGAGGTATTGAAATGTATGTGCACATGCACATCAATACTTTATATAGAAGACACAAGCTAAGTATCAACATAACATCTGATATCTCTGCTTCAGATTTTGCAGGGCTCTTGTATGGATCTTGATGGAGAAGAATTCTGGAGGTCACCAAAGAGCTGGGGTTTCGGGCATGACAGAGAAGTTCATTATTATAATTTTGGTTGCTTCAAGATTTTTTTTAAAATGGCACTCATCTGTGCATCCAACATGAGCTACTTATTAGTTTTGCACCAGTGGACAAACACAATGCAATGGACTAAAGTGACAGAATGGGCTCAGCATTTGTTTGCAGTGAGGCAGGCCTGACTGCTAAATGACCATTCAGGGATCTGCTAACTGAGGAAGGAAGGCTGCTGAAAATATTCCTGCAAGTCAGCTGTTGGCCATCTGCTGCAAGTCTGGCCTTTAAACATTATTTATTTGTAGTACCCAAGACAAAAGCAAAATTTTCTGTGCAGAGCAAGCTGCAAACTCGATGACCATCTCTTTCCCCAGTTTTACTCTTATATTTACCTGCCATTATATTTATATTGGCAGCACCTTCGAAAGAAGCTCTGGAACAGGTTCCATGTGTGCCTTCACCTTGTTGCAGCTTTTCTGGCAGCAGCAATTAGACCCAGAGGCAGACAGCACTTCACTGTGGGAGGTGCTATACAAATGTGGAGTAAAGAAACAGTCTCTGCCCCAACAGTTCAGCCATTTCAACTGACTGAGAAACTGCACGGCTCATTCAACAAATGGATGTGGAAGGGGCACATTCTCAGTAAAATTGTTTCAGGTTTTTTTCAGTCAGCTTAGAGTTTTACATGATGATAGCAATGTTTCTATTTCCTCTTGCTCAATGGCATAAATGTGAATGGACAAAACTTTACAGAAGTAAATGTAGCCTTAATGGCTAACAGTGTCTGAGCTTCTGGCCCGTAGTATTTTTAGAAGCCATGGAATTGTTTTACTTCTATCTCTTCTATCTCAGATTTTAATTCAGTGCTATTTCTCTTACACTGAAGCAGCAGAGCTATCTTGGAGAAAATTACATGAAGCCATGCTAGTCATCTCTTAGGCCACCCACAAAGCGGGAAAGACGTAATGCCAGTAGATGGGCTGGCCTGAGACTTGTAGATTCAGAGGTAGAGTTTTATCTAGCACCAGTGCTGAATCATTAAAAGCAATCAGGCAACTGAAATAGCCAGAGGCACATAGTCTTCACTGCATTACAGAATTTCAATTAGGAGAGATTCTACCATCCTTTTCCCCCTTCTGAATGAAGATTTGTTAGCTGGTTAGTCTCAGACGAGAATACAATAAATAGAGAATTTGTGGAAATGAGCTGGGAATGCTTGAGTTAATTGAAAAGGAACATTAATAAATCCATTATTTAATTCATCTCTTGAAATTAAACATGGCAGTTCATGTGTATTACCCATGAGTAGCCCTGCACTGTTTATTGTTTATCTCAACAATCTTTGGCAACATAAGTTGTTTCTACCATCCATCGGCAATAGGTATCAACCACTGCGAGTTAATTAACAGAAAGATTCTTGTAGTCCATTCAGAACATGTTTATCATAAAGCAAGACAATCCCATGCAGAGACAGCCAGTCTTGAGGAGCTCAGCTGCTGGGTTCCAGAATTGGAAGCAGCACAGCCATGGTGGCTCAGGTGTGAATTCTTCTAATGTAGTTTTGCAGAACCAGACTTCTGTATGGTACTTAACTGTGGCACATTTAACTGTTTGAGACAACAGCATCTCAGACATTGCTGTTGTGCATCCTATTATGTGGTACAGGCGTATCCACAGCCACTGACTCTGGTGTTTACTTTCTTCCACACATTTATCTTGACTGATCATTATCCATCTGATCTCACACTGGTTATGAAACAGCTTTGCAATGCTGTTGACTTTTAGTCATACTTGACCTAGTCAAACTCAGATAACAGATCAATTCCTTTTCTTACTATGAGGCTTACAGATGTGGGCTCTTCTATAGAAGGTCTCAAGGAATTTATTGTAGGGAGCAAAGAAAGGAAAAAATGTTAATGTGTCTAGAAACACTGAAACATTTTGCTAAGCAACACTCTTATGTTTTCCAGCTCAACAACTTCACAGAATAAAAAAAATCCTTGCACTTCAAAGAAAGGCCATCAAATTTGAAATGAAAACGACATTTCAAGGAGCACTATCTAGGTAAGGTTTACACTTCTACCTTCTTATGGTGCAAACCACAATACATTGCTAAGAGCAAAACCTGAGTTCATATTCTGATTTGTGAAACAAATGTGGATCTACTGCAACTCCAGTGATGCCTATGAAGCCCACTCAATCTTACATAAAGATAATTATGTGCAAAACTGTCTCGTTTTCATCATCTAGTGTGTGATACTGCAGAACACGGCAATTAAAAGTCAGTGATACTTTCCATTATGCCCACTGTTATCTAACTGGGCTCCATCCTCCAAAGGGGTAAATTCCTCCTGAATTATATCAGCCTCCTGCTGCTGATCCCTGTGAGAGTGACTACAGTAAGCATAGCCCAGGGAATACTTGCCATATGAATTGGGGTGAAAACATTACATCAGTAGTGCAAGAAGTAGTCACAGGAAAGAGAAAATATTTCTTCCCTTGATTTAAGCCACACAAGCCTGCTGACATTTGAGAGGGTGTTCAGGGAATGTGAGGCCTGGAATAAGAATTAAATTGGTAAGAGCTTTTATGGGAAGGATTCTGGCTTCTCCAGAAGAAAATTCAAGATAAAGTAATGTAACCCAACTCTGACCCTCATATGCCCTCATCCTCCAGTAAGTTAAGCAGTAAATGGACCAGTTAAAATTTCATTCTTCCTGGCAGTCTGTCTTTATTGCTTAATATCGTTTTGGTGGGCTTGAACCTTTAATCTTGCTCATTGTTCATAATGCTATGCTATTTCTTTTCTTTTATGAATTCTTTCTGAAAATTATGACTATAAGTTTTCAAGATTTTTGCATTCTTCTTTTCTTTGTCACTTCCTTTATTCCCCATAAAGATGAGTGCAAAGCCAGTAAGTGGGCACAGAACCCCCTCCTATCTTAATTATAGCTTGAACTCTCTTCTGAAGTAAGGCTTACATTTAACATAATCATGCCTGTCAGGCAGAAACTGGGCAGTTCTCCTTTTCACCTTGCTTTTCTTAAATGAACCCACAAACCCTCTTTATCAGTCTGAGAACCCACAAATAGCAGCTTTTGTTCCTTTTGCCTGTAAGAAGGAACAGTTATATGCTGTCTGGGAATAGTGTTTAATAGAGGAATGTAGATTTGTAACTGATACTGCTGTTGTTTTTGAAAAAAGAGGAAAGAGAAGATGGATAGATATAAATAAAAGTGAGACAGCAAAGCCCATGCACGCAGTCCATTGGGAAAGAAGGAGATTATGAGAATAAAGTTCATTGTAGTCACACACAATCTTTCTTAAAATTATTATATGGGATTCTGTGGTGATTAAATACTTGATCATCCAATAGAGAAGAACAGAATTCTCTTATAAAAGATCAGGTATTTACTAGCACTGGTAATCTGTATCATACATAACACACACTACACTGCTGAATGAAAAGCTCTTCTGATGAAAGTATAGTTGCAGCTCAGCACTGTTGAGAAAAGTGACCTCATTGCATCAAATGTGATTATTTGAATCTCTGAGATACATACTGAGGTCCTTACTTACTTGATACTCAAACAGACATAATCTTGGAGCTGGCAGGAGTTTTTGCCAGATGAGGAGTGCAACCACAAGGTGGGACAGTGGCATTTGTAGGCACCAAACACTTGCCAGCTGAGGATTTAAAGACTGAACTGTTGCCTCCTACAGCTATAGTAGAAAGCACTGCTAGTTCTTAGCACAGGTCTGTTTTGGGCCAGGAATTCTGCTCCCATGATACCAAATGAAGCTATGCTATTTCAGACAGAAAACTAGAGGCTTTTCATTAATGTTTGGCGGGGAACAAGAATTAGTTCGTGTAGAACTACTACTAAAACTGATTCAATTTACAAACCTACATGACCCAGAAGAGGTGAAGAGAGGATTCCTGCCTCAGAAGAGGCTATAGCTGCAAGAATTCTCCCACCATCTCTACTCAGGCAACCAGCTAAATGTGTAACACCTTCATTTTGGGGCAAAGCTTTGCATGTTGTATAGGAAGAGTAAAACTCGACCTTGATGAACAAATGGTTGAACCCACTATTTTATATGACAGGTTACAGCAATTTGGAAGAACCCATGATGCAGATTTGCACCAACAGATCTGCAAAGCTGGCAGTCTCTTTGGAACCTGCTTTAGGGTCATTGTCTGGAGATCTGGGATTAGGACAGCATCTCTAAGCTGTATGGCGCCTCAGCTTTCTAATGCATGTGATCTTGAAAGTAAATATAGATAGAAATAATGTGTCTGGCACATGTGCATGCTCCAGAAATAAAATATGGGTGTAATCTTACTCTTCTTTGTCTTAGATGAACATATAACACTACAATTACCCCGTTCATTCAGGGAACACGTATTAATGAACAAATCCACCAATTTAGAATGAAGTTACTGGATATTCAACCTTCCTGAAAAAGTCTGGCTTATCCTCAGTGTTTTCGAGAAGCACTCTAAGTGTCATGTATTACGGTTATTCTTTGAAAAGTATTTTATTTTAGAAGTTTACACCATGCCTGTTTTTCTGGGCTTGCCATGTTGCTGTTTCAAGTGCAAACAGTACTAACCTATCTAGTTTAGGTGTTAGCACATCTCTGCTCACTATAAGCAAATGGTAGTTGCATGCTCCATTGCCAAAGTGTAAGGACAGGATGTGAGGGAGATTTGCCTAACTACTTCAGCCATCTGGAGCATAAATAAGGGAACAGAGAAAGAGTCATGGACTCTCCTGATAGAGCCAAAAGTTCTCAACACTTTGTACAGCAGTTAAAGTGAAAAAGGAATTTGTCGTGGTTTATTGTAAAGTTAGTTACACTCATGTCACAAGGCTAAAGGGATATGACATAAGACCTTTTTTTCAGCTTGTAAGTCTTAAGTATGTAAATCAATCTAAATAAACATAGGCAAACCATAATCAGGTATTTTAAAAACAAGTTTTAAATAATACTCATCTAGTTGCTTAACTAAGGATTTAGGGAATCTCCAGGTTTAGCCGGTGTGTTTTATGCATTTCTTAGCACTGTGTATACTTGGCAGCACCCCATAATTTTATAAAAATGCAGACAGTAATTCATGGTGATCAAGCCGTGTTTATTTCCCATGTGCAAGTTTTGTTTCTTTTTCCCCTGGCTAAAATGAATGCAGAGCTCTAAGACTTCTAACAAGTGCTACCAACTTTCACCTGGAAAGGAGGCCTCTTTCAGGGAGAGCAACTCATTCACAGATCAGCAGACAAACATAAAATCTCGAGGCTAACTGAATCTGAGTCAGAAGTAATGCCTAGGTTCACAAAGAAAGTTAAACAGAGCAGAAAGGGGCCAATTACCTTTTCAGAACTTGATGGGTCAGATCAGGGCATTTTCTGTGCATGCACCAAGGTCCACCCTCCCCTCTCGCCCCTTTGCACTGCAGAAGGAGTGAAAAGAGAGCTCTGCAGAAATGCTGCAGAGTCTGTGACTGCTGTTTGCTGACTGTCTGCAGGCAGGAATGTCCTCGGTAAGCTCTGAAACACTTACATAGAACCTAACTTTATATATATATATACTGCAAAAGGAGGATCTGGACTACAAATAGCAAACTGTTGCTCTCAGGCTTTTCTACCACATGAAGCTCAGAGGGCATAAGTCATCTCACTGACCTTACATGTTTTCATCTGTTTTTAAATCTTAGTGCCCACATCTAGCTTCATGTAGGCTCTAGCTCTCTATATAATCTCCATAGAGTCCTTATGGTAGACGGACACAAACCAAAATGTACTAGCTGTGACTCAACTGACCTATTCAAAAGTCTGTGTTCAGGTGAGATGAACTGTTCCTTTAAAACACTTACTCCCATTTCCTGACTTTAGAGGGAGCCCACATAAAATGTCAGCTCTGAATGCCTTCTGATATAGTGCCTTGGCTCCAGTTTCTGCATCTCCCACTGCATAAACATGGGCTTGAGCCGGCTTGGACTGAGAGGGTGACCAGATTTGGACTTTGCCTCTCCAGAGGACTACAGATGTTTGCCCAAGTCCATGTCCTATGGTGTATTTTTGGGTAAACAACACGGAGAGCAAGTAATGAGAAAACTGGGCCAGACCCTTTGTTAATTGATCGTCTCACTATATTTGCGAGGTCTATGAGACAAAATTTTTGCTCTGTGCCATAGAAGTAGCCTCCTTTGGAGTGCAGCTGAAAGCAAATGATAAGAGCAGGAAGAAAGCATCCTTAGGATGGCAAATGTGATATAAAAGGGCCACTGTAGCAAAAGTATCTCAGAAGCACTGAAATACTCTGTAATCCCAATGGGGCAGAGCCTCAGGCAACTGTCAGGACATTCAAGAAAAGGTGACTCACTTCAGTGAGGAAGGGTGAGTGTTGGTCACCCATAAAGTGGTAAAGCAGAACTCAAAGCTGAAACCATCACTGGCTGTGCCATGGCTCTCTTGGGTGGCCTGAGGCAAGTCCACCCCTTTGTACCCCTGCCCCTTTGTCCTGAAAAGGAAGATGACCCCTCCTTTGGGAATCACTGCCAAGTCTGTTGATTCTGTATGACATTATAGCTCATTTGCCCCTAGCTGGCTGACTGAACTAGATGCAACAAATTGAATGTTATCACCACATGGTCTGAAGTTCTGTCACTAAGCTTCTTCATTACAAAAGAGTGGAACCATCAGACTAAATGAAGCGATTACACTCAGGTCTCCAGCCAAAACTCAGAGACAGATTTTGGCTTTCATGTCTCTGTAAATTCACAAGTATTTTTACTAGCACTTTTACTAGCACTTTGGAAGTAAAGGGAACAGAATCAGTTGACAGGCTCCTGTTGATCTGAATCTGCTCTAGAATCAAAATTAGAGAATTGGGTTTGAACCTATGGACATCTTAATCTTAACCTTAACCATTTCCAAAGATTCCAAGTAGTTTGAATTAAGCCTGCAAATTAAAAAGGCAGCAAAAGAAAACACTTTTCTCTGAATATAATTACAGAACAAAAAACTGATAATTGTTTCTTTGTTGATTTGTTTCTTAGGTGTCCTTACTGTACTCATTAACTGACAGAGAGATGCAATGAAATACCAGGCCTATGTTTCTAGCAGCAACTCTGGTACAAAGTCCTGGCTGGGACATACCTTGGGAGGGAGGTTATTTTCCCCCATTTCTCTATACAGAAGCGCCGCAGGCCATTGCTCCCTCGGAGAGCGGCAAAGCCCTCGTACGGCACACTCGACGTTCCCGTGACGAACTGCAACAATCGCAGCCTCTGCTCGTTGTTAAACCTCTCCACGGCTGCCCAGAACCACCGTATCACTATGTGTCCATCATGGTAGCCTACACCAAGAAAGAGAAATAAATATCACTCTCTCCTAACTGGGAAGAGCAACACTGAAAAATGTTCCCATTAGCATGAGGCAGTAGATCTACTGGAAAGATCCTGGCCTAACAATATATCTTGTTCTTCACAAGCAGTAGGTCCCAGCTTCCATTTTGTCCTGGCTGTGGATACTAAAATATCTAACTCATTTCAGACCCTGAAACCTGAATATCTACTTGAGATTCTCACAAATCTCTTGGCAAGAACTGGGGTTACATGCATGAGATATTAACGAACAAGAGCAATATGCCATACAGTGTGAGTCTAAACAACCTAACAATTTCTGGTTCCCAAGTAAATTCTCTTTTGGATTGCAATAGTGTTTGACATATGGAGAGGAGTTTGCTGCCACAAGCCCTTCCCTGGCAAACTTCCCACCTGAGGGCTCTGAGCCTTGGTTTGTGCCAGTGAGAGCCAGCATATACCAGGCTGAATCTGTTTCAAAAGTTAAACAGAAAAATGTAGGAGGAGAATAACATTAGGGACCAGCTGTGCTTGTGTTAAGCTGCACATTTCAAGGTAACCCAAAGGCTGGGCAGTAACCAGCAAAGACTGAAACCTTGTATTTCAGGGGAGGATATGTGAACCTCAGGAACTTTCCACTTGTGGTGCAGAACTGGTGGATTTCACATTTTTCCATCATCTAAGACAGCCTGGATAAATCATTGTTTAAAGCAAAACCAGACCAAGCAGTAGAGAAGTGAAAAAATCCAACTTGACATAGTTTAGGCTGAGGGGACAGTTGAGCAAGATCTGTAAGTTGTTGAAATGTAATTGGGAGATGTGAAATTCAGCTCCTGATTTCAGCTCCCTGCCAAAGCCAGGAGGACTTGTGGAACTACTTTCTGTGAGGCCAAGAGTTCAGTCACAGTCATCTTAGATGACTTGTAACTTTTAAATCTAATTGTGCAAACCCTTTTCAGTCCTTAATAGTCAAAACTCCAGCTGAGTCTGCAGGAATTGAACAGATAAAATCTAGGCAGAAATAGGAGAAGCAATTTTAGTAGTATAACACCACAACATCTGTTGATCCAAACCTGAGATCTTACTTTTTTTATTTCAGGAGTTATTCTTCACAATAACTTCCTGGACAAAATAGGGCATTTCCCTCAGGAAAGACAGAAGGAAAAGATGGAGCAAGACTTCCATGTTTCAGACTGAAACAGTCAAGATAGTAGTAAACACGAGCAGCCAGTTTACCTCCACGATATTCTGTGTTGTTCCGCCAGTCATTGAGATCTATTTCTGCAGTGCCAGCTATAACCAGCTCCAGTTCTCTGGCATCAAAAACAGAGACGAGCCTGGAGTCTACAACCTGGAACAAAAAATACTTGTAAGCACAGTTCAGACTGAAATGAAGCAAAGTCTTATAAACTTACGGTTCTGGGGGCCAGTTCTTTATCCTGATAAAGTCTGAATGTTTGCATTCACATGTTTGTGTATGATTAGGGAGGGGTAAGAATATGTGGCCACCTGGGTTGATCAGCAAAGCCACAGGTTTTCACCCAGTCCTTGTAACAGCTCTGCCAGAAAGATTTCTCAGATCCAGATCATCAAAAAAGATAAATTGCAAAATCCAGGGACAACAACGGAGCAATATCCAGGAATATCTCCAGCAAGTTAACAGCTTGGACAACTGCACCCTCAGACTGATTTACTTTAATTCCTGAAGACGTAATATGTTCCATCAGCTTCTCATCAAAGCGTACAATTCTTCACAATCTTTCTTTGTCAGGGACCCTTAGCCCTAACCCAAAATCACAACATGGTAGAACAAAATTTGCAAATGCCTACTTCTCTAACTGTGGAAATGGAAAGCAGTAGTTGTTCTTAACTCTTGATCATAAATAATGCTTTATCATATTCAGAAGACACATTTCTTTCCTTTCTTCTTTAATCTTAAACATGCCATATCCAAGGTAGAGATCCATCTGTAAAGATCCAAGAACTCCAATTCCTTGCTGTTTGTGTCTGTTTAGCTGTTCTCTGAGGTACCAATGAAGCACAGTTTAACCAGAGTGCTACTCTCATTCAGATGAAGGAGGGATGACTGTGGAAGCATCACTTTGTTACTTACTTCGTAGAAGCCACGGACCAGGGCCTCTGTTTGCTGAACCACTCCTCGTTCCACTCGCCACTTAACCATTCTCTCGATGTACTCCTTTTTGTTCTTTTCTGTCACTGCTGTATTTGCCCCTCCAGATTTCAACTCTCTCTCTGTCACCTACAGATCAAAGATAAACAGTGGTGTAGCACTGTATGGATCATGTTGTATTTCAAACGTGAGATCATGCAAGCAACAGTACAGGAAACAACAGGATGGAGAGGCAAATACAGTATTGGAATAGGCAGACTGCTTGCACAGATAAATAGTCACTGTGGGATTCAGAGTTTTGTATCAGCTATTCAAACCTGAGAAGAGTTTGTACTGTAAATAACTTTTCCTTATTTTAAGCAAGAGCTGCAGCATTTATTTGCATTTTGACAGTTTATTTAGTTGGCTTGAGTTACTAAGGTTGGAGACTGAGAGGCGATTCAAGGAATCAGTCTGGTTCCTACCCAGCAAACACATATTCCTCCTCCCATGTGACAGAAAATTATATTTGTCTTTAAATTATTTTCACATTCAATTTAGTGGATTTAAAAGGAAGAATATATTGTTATCCTCTTCAGTTTTTTGCTGCTATAACAATGATGTCCACCACAGACAGTAAATGAACTGTAGGAATACATATTAATTACTAGTATTATTTATATTATTATCTATTTATTAGCCCAACAGACAGCACACAATATAGGCAGTATTTAGGTCACCTTACTTGAGGGATCTATTGCAATATTATGAATTAAGAAACATTGACTGAGTCATCTAATTGGTAGCTTTGTTGAGAAACAGCAAGAACAAGTAAATCTAGATGGAAGGAGTTAGGAATTCTTAGCTCGCTCAGGTTAAATTCCCAAACATAAATCATTGCATCACCATTATACAAGCAATGCTGCATTGTCCAGAAGGCAAGACTCTGGCTCAGCTACCATGCTGTATTCTTCAAGACTGTGAGGCATTAAGGTATATCTGCCAAACCAAAGAGTAAATGTTGTCTAGCTTTAAGCATGACCATAAGTCCAGATGTCCAAAGTCTCCTGCAAGATTTCCCACAAACATCTAGAAAACTATTGATTTTTTCAACTTCCCATTATCCATATAAATTCAAATACTCTTAGTTATCTATGAAGCTAGCAATTAATAGCAATGTGTTCCTATTTTGGGGTTTTTGTTCCTAGGGGTATTAACCGCAGCTATGAGCTACAATTTAGAATCAGGTTTCAGAGGAGCAAGTAGACATTTCAACCAATCTATCTCGTTCCTTTTACCTGGTGGGAAAAATTGCCAGGGCTCAGAGACAGGCTATATCCACAAAGAGAGCTCAGAGTAAGGCCTGGAAGAACACTTTCTACTAGGTAAACGCATGGGAAAGTACTTTGGGCCACGAGCAACTGACACATCTCTGTCTTGTAAGTGAAATTCATAAATTGTCGTTCAGTCCCCACCAGTAAAAATGTGTAATGCTCGATTTGACACTGTATCACTGCTGTTACAGGAATGCTCCGGATTCCAGTACGCAAGAAGGCTGGAATTCACCTGGAGTAAATTCTACTTAAGAAAGTACCAAGAAAGAGGATTTGGCCTGAAAGCCTTAGAAGATCAACACACATCAGAGGTGAGACAAAAAAGAAAATATGAAAGCAGCAGTGACTGGTCCATAATAAGGTCATTGTGGAAGCAGGACAAAAGGGCTGTAACCATCTACTATACAGCTTCTCAAGGAGTCATTACATTTCTTATTTCCCTTACTCAGCCCTTGAAATCCAGCTTCCCAAATATTAGCAGAGCTCCCACGGTGATCTACACTTGCACGTGTACCAAGCAAAGCAATGCTCAGATGGCATTTAAGTGGTCAGATACTCTTGGCATGGAAGAATTTCCAACCAGGATCCATCTGTGAGCATAAAATGCGACTGTAATTTCTTTGTTATTTTGCTGTCAGCACTTAGCAAATTTCAAGATAAAAATCAGTAAGATTTCACTTAGAGCACTTGGATTCTGACGTAATTCACAGTGAGAACCAACCTTTCCCCCCATCATTAGTTCTAGCAAGGTCAGTGTCCAATACATAGGAAATAAAGTACTAGACAACAGCATCAAAAGCATCTGGATTTTAGTGTTCTTTTGCTTTCATATCACAGCATCTACAACAGATTGTGATTTTTCCTATTCTCTTTGGAGCCATCTCTTATTTTCCACAACAGACTCCTATGTAACTGTTTTCTCTTTCCTTTGAGGAGAGTATAACAAGTAATTAATGTGCCAAATGTTACTTTCCGATGCATCAGGGCAACGCAGATCTTATTCAACTTTGTAGTCTTCCCTTTTAAATACAAACTTGTCTCATCTGCCTTTGTGAATGTCTGTATGTTTCTGTCTCCCTTTGTGTATTAGTCTTATGCAGCCATACCTTCCAGGGAAACCACTGTACTGTCAATTCAATGTCATGCAAGCTCTCAGTTCCAAGTCTGTGAAAAACTCCTGCATTTCAGTCTGTGGAAAAACAGCGTCACTGTTCCTACAGAGGCTTCCTACTTTAATTCTCCTGCCCTGTCCTTTTCATCTACCCTTAACTCTGCTCATACTTTGTAACCTTTTGCTATATACAGGCTAAATTCAGTTTTTAATATACCCCCTGAAGTCTTGCTTGCTTTCTGTTACTTTCAAGCTCATAGCTGAGCAGGGCCGGAATTTCCCCCCTCAGAAACTTGTCTAACTCTTCCCTAGCTCACAGAACTCTCTAGCTTGTGCAAACCCATCCAGGAAACTTTACTGTCAAGTGGTAAGAGCCTTTCTCTGTATATTCCACCTGATTTCTCTGCTCCTTTTGACACTGTGTCTGCTCCTTACAAAGTATCTCCATCCCCTGAACTTCTGCAGTGCTTGGTGAGCTTGGTTCTTCAGTTTCTCTAGTTTTCAGTATCTCCTTGGAGATCCTTAATCATGGTCTGAATATTGTTTTGATTCCCTTCAAGGCTTCCCAAAGATAGTCATAGTCCAGCATGGTTTGCAACAGCAAAGAGCACCAGGGGTTCAGTGCAAAACCAAAGAATCCCAGAGAAGACACTTATTCTGGTTGCCAGACTACACTTAAGCCAGTGTTGCCCTCTCCTTAAGGCTATAGTGATCAATCAGGCTACAGAGAACTGTCTGACTAAGGTAGAGCTGAGCAGTAGAAAGAATAAATGGATGTACATACCAAGTTGTTAAATAGGTGCAAGGAAAGTAAGAGACACTGAATCTAACAGGGAGGTATTAGACAAAATAATGGTGAAGGTTGCCGGGTCCTACACCACCTGTCAAATGTTTTTTATCCCTCCTAGCCCATCCTTTCAGTCACATCAGCTTTAAGTTACATTGCTTGCATTCACCAAATGCCACATCTGTGTGAACTACACCCTGGAGAGAGAGCTGCACTCCAGAGAATTCCTCATGCTCATCAATGTGTGGCTCAACAGGCCTGTAGGGGGGCTGGTATTGTATATTATACACCCTAAGAATAAACATCTGCCTTGGAACAGGTGGCTTGAAAGAAACAGAAGATAGGAGAAGAAAATGTTATTGCAAGGCTAAAAGATCTGTTCTGACAGAAAGACGTTCATCATGCTCAACTTTGTCAGCTTCAGATTTGCTTTTCAGATGTTTTGCATAGCTGTGCTCACCTGTCCAAACACCTCCTCGTTCACTGTGAAGGTTAGATCCAGGATATCTGTGATATTGTTATCCTTCATCCACTGCAAGCTCTGATGGAACTCTTCATCCAGGTACTCTAAGTCACTTAAATCACACGGCCTGATTGCGAGACCAGAAAAAAGATATGACCCTGTGACTACTGGAAGGATGATTTCCTACTAAGCATGTGAACAAATTTACTGAAGATGCAACATAAAACTGAAGTTCATTTAGTTTTGTTAACATCAAAGGCTGTTTCACAGTTGAAGCAGTTCTGCAACTGTTTGCTTTGCATAGCTGGGCTCAAGGCCAAATCTGCTGGCTGCTTGCATTATCTGCTGTCAAAAGACACCCCTAGGGCTTGATTTTATGTGGATCTTCAGGATGCCCTGCACTTCACAGCAAACGTGTCCCTTCAGCCCCACCATGCTGTGCCTTGCTGCTTCCATTACCTATCATCTGCCAGGTGAGCACACAGGAATGACACTGGGCAGACCAGGCAGCCCAAATTTCTGCTAATAAGGACTCATCCTTGTCTGCTGAAAGGACAGGTGGATGTTATGAGCAGCCTAGTTTCCAGTTTCCTACAGGGGCAATAAGAATGCAGGGATAACCCTTGGTTTCAGCCTATTTTCAGACTAGATCAGGTACAATAGAGATGAGTGTTTGTACCCCAGCAATAATAATAGTTAAACAACAAAGACCAACATGATAAAGAACTTAAAACGACATGTATTTTTGCTGATTGAGAATCATCTTAATTGATGATCTGTTTCAGCTAAGCTTTATTCTGTTCTTTAGCATTTAATTGCATTCTTGAGTTAATATTTATGGCTTTTTTTATTGTTGTAAAAATTTTATGTACCTTGTCTTACTTCAGTCTATTAATTAAAGAGGGACTAGTCAATCCAAATTAACCTCATAAACTTCAAATTGAAAGTTATGTACTATTGGTAGTTTATGCTTACTAAAATAAAAGAGAGGAGAAGAACCAAAAAAACATTCACTGGTTATATCTACATTAACATTCTTAATTAACCCAAGTTATGCTTTAGAATGAAAAGCTACTCCACCACTGAGGCATTACAAATGATGTATTTTTGCTTACTATAACCTCTGTCCTTCTTTTGTTATTATTTTGTTTCATTCCATCAAAGATGTTTTTCAGTCTTCCACCTGGTTGAATCTTTGTAACTTTTCATCAGTAGTAAACTCTGGCATTATGTGTCAGTACTTTCTGATGTGTGTTTCTAGATGTCATACTTATTTATTTTTGTCAACATAGTATTTATGAATGGCAAATTCTTGGAGAAAGCAAAGAAAAATTAAAATGTGTTCATTTTCTATCGCAAACAACCACAACAAACCAACAGCAGAAAGAACTTGAAGGTCAGTTCACTCAAAGCAACTCCCTACGGAGCTGTGACTTAGGACTCACTGTGGGATTGCTGTTTCTGCATGGTTGCATGGTTATACTCACAGCCTTAGTAGTGCTTTGTAGAATGGCCTTGTGAAGAAAGCATCAAGAAGGTACTGATGAATGAGAGCAAGGCCAAGAATACGACCGCTGAACCTGAACCTGTGAAATAAAAATGCAGAGTAAATGAAGTGTAACTCAAGACTTCCACTATAGAAACTTACACAGGTAGCAACTAGGGTCTTTTGGTTGGTTTGTTTCTGAATTAGTTTTTCACATTTATTCCCTGATTTTTTTCCGAACAGGCACTTAATGCCACTCCTCCCATGTCTGATCAATAATGGATCTCCTTGATGCACCTCCTACTGTACCCATACCTGCAGCTGGCACATTATGTGCTCTCCTGTGCCAAACCAATGAACACTCTCTTTCTGTAATCTCTCATTCAATGTTCTGATACAGACTGACTACATCCAATACAGTATTTGGCCTGAGAAATACTGTAATGCTCCACCTCAGCAGAACAAATGCTATCTCAAAAGAGCTGCAAAGGATATTTGGAGACTCAATATATGCAGTTTCTGACTAGCTACAACTCTATCCGAGGTGGGGCTTTAAAGTACTTTAAAAGAGTAGTGAATTGACTTGACAGGGGAAAACTGAAGTCCAAATAATCTAACTGTTGTTGACCAAGGACACATTAAAATCAGCATCTAAAAGCTCTGGCACGCTGTCCCCAGATCACTTTCTTAATTCTGCTGCTCAGCTGTTTTCAGTATTTACACACTTCTGTATTTGTTTCTAAGAACAACAACCCCCAGTCCCCCTACAACTACACTCAAATAGTGCCTTATTTATTTATATTATAGTCTGTGACTTGTGATGATAAACTGTTAAAGTTTTCTTCCTATGATTTCTTCTATGACTTATTCTATATTTTTCCATTAAGCCTGCTTTTAAATCAATCATCTCAGACAGAAAACCACAAAACTGGTGTGAGTCCAGTTGAGTTCGATTTTTGTAAAAACAATGCCCAACAGCCATTCAAAACTTGCTAATATGTACGAAATGAAAGGAAAAAATCCAGCACCCCAAATGTGAGCACTCCAAGTCTGAGCTGATTGATAACACAGGAAAGTTTTGCTACACAGAAGATGAGAAAAGTATCAAAAAGTATAGAAACCATTCCTTCAACTCACAGGAACTAGTGCAAAGACCTCTCCACATGAATGAAACATGAGTCTGATTGTAACAAAGGTAGCAAAGAATATCTGTTCAGTCAACTTTATGCTCATGGGACAGAACAACAAGTGCTTAGTATGTCAAATGGGGCACAAAATAGCCTGCTGTGGGCCCAATTAGCATTTACATCACCACAGGAGCTGCCTCCGGGTCCCCTGAATCTGAGAAAGGTGCTTATGATATGCAGCTGACTGGCCACAGAAGAACTATTATATTACCCCTTACAGCTGTTTCCACAGCAGCAACAAAAGGCAGCTGTAGAGTCTAGTTAGGGCCTGCTTCACTTCACTTGTGCTCCAGTGCAGTGCTTCCAGCAAAAGGCAAGGAAATGAGGGGGAGCTGATACAATGAAAGCACAGTGGAAGCCAGACAGCTCAAATCCCAGAAATGCTGAACCTGTAATCCGTCAGTTTTATAGCACCTTCAGGATCCATAATCAAGTCCGTTTGTCCCAAATAATGCGTGTCAGCTTTTCTGGTTTTGTTCTTCACCCCCCATCCATCCCTGTATGTTTTGAAAGTGAGCACTGAATGAAAATGCTGGGGATGTTCCTCACCACAGTGCTCACCCCACAGCTACTCAACTGTGTGAGACTGGGCAGGCAGGAGCCACCTGGAATAAAGCTGAAAGTGAACTGCCAGGCAAGATTTGGGAACATGGCTTCTCCTAAGAAATTGCTTGAATGTGTGAACAGCATCCCTTTTCTCCTTGCTGCTTGTTTCACTTCTGCATGGCTTTGAGGGCATTCCTGCAAAGCTGACATGAAAGGGTCATGCACCTACACCAAGGTGTTTATAGCTACAGGCTCATGTTACAGGGGCTGTTAATGGAGAGTTTAATTTGAATCAGTGCTTTGTGGCAGAAGTGTATCGAACCATCCCAAAGCCATGGGCAGTATTTCTGTGTGAAAGGGCCAAGCCTAGGGCACCAGCCTAAGAACATGTGAGATAAATCAGATGAAATAATTACCAAAACGTTGCCACTGCTGGTGTCTATCAATACAATGGATAAAAAAAGCTATGTTGCAGACTGTATTCCCCAACAGCTCCATATCACTCCAGAAAAATATGGTGCTGTGTGGCCAAGGCATGTGAGCTCTCCAGCCCACAGACCCTTCTGCCCCTGAACAGAGCTTTGGTATCTCGGCAGAGACTTGCTATACTTGAGTCTCTTCTGAAAAATGGTGTAGGAGAAGGATCTCTGGCCCCTTGTCCATGCTGGACAGGGGCCTGGGACCAGACATTACACTTCTCTGGTCCAGCACTGAGAAACATGGACCATGGTAAGCCAACCGATACCTATCAACAGGAGGCATTGGCTGCCTTTCTCAGAGAACAAATATACAATTTATCTGTGTGCGGCTCCATTGAGTTCATCAAGCTGCCACTACCCTCAGACAAACATAGCAGTCCCACTTAAAATGTATCAAAATTTACAAAAAAGCAAGAAGAAACAAATTGCCCTCCTTACAAAAGCCAGTTAAAACAAAGCCAGGCTCTTGTGTTTATTTCTTCCTGAAAGATTTAGAGCAGGGGTGAGATTTAGAGGTGTGTAAGACAGTCCTTTCAGAACAAAACAAGTTTTCTTGACAGAATAAGCAGCACAAAGGTAAATCCTGGCTGGAGGGCGCATACTTTCCTTAAGCCTGAATTACATTTATCTTTCCAAGGAAGTGTAAAATACTTGTTTGGTTTCTTTCTAGCAGAAAAGCTAGTTTGGAAGATGTGGGGAATGCAGGGTCTTGCTCTGGCCTTTTCTTTCAACACCCTTCCCTTTTGGAGACAATGATTGAGCCTGAGTAATGTGCTCCAGAGCGGGGGAAAATGCAGGAGGGAGTTAATGAACAGGAAATAGTGGAACGAGAGGCAGAATTAATGAGCAGTGGAGCTGCTCTGGTTTGACTACCCATTGACACTGTTCGTCCACTCAAAAAGGACATTGTGTGCACCTGCTTTCTGGCTTTTAACAGCACTACTCTTTGACCCATTTGCAGAAATTTCCGCTGTACCCAGCTAATTCCTTTTCCTTATGGAGGCTTCAGGTGCCCCTGAAGCTCCCACAGCAGCCTGTTGCAAAATAACAGGCTCACTCCCCTCCATGGGACTCTGTGCATACTTACTGCATATCCGTGTACCCAGGGAAAGACAAACCCATATACTGTAGCAGCATCTAGGCAATAAATTTTCCTCTGACTGCAGCTGAGTCACAGGAGATTTCATGTACTCTGGTCCTTATCATACAGCACCAGAGCAAGGCAGGACCCACAATGACCCTTTGGTACAGAGCTCTCTTTCAACTGGTTCAATGAATGGAGCTCTATTTTATATGACAGTTTTTCCTTGGATTCAGATAGATAATGATGTACCTTGAAGAGATTGTAGTCTGTGTGTACAGACAAAGAATGGTCTTTATCACTCTATTGGGAATGCTTTGGGAACCATGCCTTGTGGGCTAAATTAGGTATGGTATAAGAAACTTCAAATCTTAAAAAGAGAAAGCACATGATGAGATTAAAAAGATCGAAAATCCTGCAAACCTTATCTCACTCAAACACATCAGCTGCATTTAAGTGTGCCCTTCTTGATGCAGTAGCTTGTGAAAAAATATTCAAAGTAGGGCTTGAGAGAGATAAATATAGCATGGTTCACATCAAATTTGAAAATGTCACTTTCACAAGACTTGCTTTCATCTGTAAGGGAAATTTACACATTCTGTTGCACCAGTTTTAAAGCGCTTGACTGTTTAATTGTTCAGATGAATGTTTGGCCACCTGAAAGACAAGCTGAACAAATGAGGCTACACTTTGGTCCAGGGTCTGTCCTTGGCAGCTCTCCTGAGGACAAATGGTATGTGTTAGGTGGATGCAGATGGAGAGCCTTTTAGTCCTTTCACAGTGGGAGAGACTGGATCTAACCTTGATCATTATTAGGTATCAGAGAATATACCAAGAGGGAAATATTTAGAAAGGGACAATCACGGGAAATACTTCTTGAACATATATCTTATCAGACAACAGAGAATTCAGTCATGAAACACAGATTTGTAAGAAAGCAGGCATCATGGATTCAGAGGTTGTGGTACAGCTTGTTTTAAAGCACTGTTAAAACTGCTGTTGTTATGAAGACACTTGTGAACAATCTGAAGGCCAGAAACTGCTGATTAAAGGAATTAAAAATCAATTCTTATAGCCTAAAATTTTGTGATTTGTAATCTTTTGATATGAGGGGGGGGGATACAACATGCAGAGAAAAATGTACTGAGTCTATGATTTCTGAATTTTGGTGTTGTCACCAGCACTAGCACTTCATAAACGAAGAACTTCTCTTTTTTTTGGCAGGAAAGTTATAAGAATTTGTATTTTGCAAAAAGATTCGACCAGCGAGATGGTTACAACTCTGCCTGGACTCCTACATTATGAATTTTAAGCAATACTGGCAGTGTGTCAGGCATATGCTCCAGAGGTCTGTGTCTAGATGTTGGTAGCACACATCCTTGTTTTGGCTCAGTGCAAGAGATCAGGTCACCTCTACAAAACCTTGTCAGTGGATCAAATCCACACCTCTATCTATTAGCCTTCATTAACAAATGCCTTTCTTTAATTTGGTGTGTATTTACCCCTACTCACTCAAATGAGAGAACATTTGAAGGGACTAATGGGATGACATGGAGCATTCTTTTGTCAGGAAGGTTGAGCCATGCAGGCTGGGACAGCTCATGTGTTCTCTTTATCTGACTTGCATCTGCAAACCCAGCAGACTCCTCTTCACCACCGTGTCATTTGGCCTCCTGGCAAATGTGCTCTGTGTATCGGCAGGCTCAGAGGTGGATGCTGTGGCATTCCAGCACCATGCCTCTGCAGTTCAGGAATCTGATGACCTCATGTGTCGTTAATGTGAAAGGAATGGCTCTTACAAAGGCTG